AGGTCTACAATAATTGGGTCTGTTCTGTCCTGAACATGTAGAGATTTTTTTTTCTTGTCATTATTGCATAAACAATACAGTATAATAATTATTTATATAACATTTATAGTATATTAGGTTTTATAAATAATCTAAAGATGATTTAAATTTTATGGGACAATGCACTTAGGTTTTATGAAAATACTATGCCATTTTATATAAAGGACAGTGGGGGTTCCTGGATCCAACCTGCCATGGATAGCATGGGACCACTCAATATATAAAGGGAGTGAAAGAAATGAGAGAGAGAGAGAGAATATGAGCAAATAATGCAAAATGCAATAAATTGGTGAAACTAAGTAAAGAGTACATAAAAATTCTGTATTTGAAAAAGTAAAAAATCAGTTAATTTGATGACAAAATATCACATATTATTTGGTATCATAAAGAGATCACAGTATCTACATATGCAATGTTGAGAGCTGGCCAGTTATGCAGCTAGTTAAATCTCCTGACTCCTCTGTTCCTGAGAATAAGAAGAACATTAAGGACTGAAAGTATAATGTAATATAAATAGCTACCATCCACTGAGTTTTGATTGTGTGTTAGCATCATATTATATATTTACCATATATTACCTTATTTGGGTTTATTCCAGCTGATTATAGTTGTGTTAGTCATTTGTTTTTCTGCTCTCACATGCATTTTTTCTTATCCTCTGATCCTCTTTGTATCCCAGGGGACTGTCTCAGAGAAGTAAATTTTCCAGGCTCCCTTGCATCTGATTTCCTGTTAGGCTGACAATGGGAGGTATTGGTGTGGAAATGTGACTGTAGAGAAGGGAAAGCCTGGGCATTTCTTCCCCTTTGCGTTTAAGCAGTACCTCTGGCAGTGAGTAGCTGTTGTCCTGCAGCTCAGCCCCTTTTCCGTTCCGACACAGCCGTCGGAGTGGGAGCGACTTCCACTAGTGTAAATCTCTGGCTTGTCCGCCACTTGCCCAGTCTGGTTTTTTAATTCTTCAGATACCTTTGTAATTAGGTTCCTGGAATGTTAAATTCCTCTATTGAACTACTTGACATGGGTTCTATTATTCTGTTTATTTTTTTGTCTGATATAAAGATAGAGACTATCTTCATTGTATGGATAAATAATTGACTTGTATAAACATCACAGGGCAAGTTTAAAAACAAGCTTTCAGACTAGTTGTGCCTCATTTCAAAGCCCAAGTACTTAAACTACTATGCTGTATCTAAATGATACTCCAAATTAATGTCTAAACAGCTGTCATTACTCACCTCTTTCTATTACTTGGTTCAAATTGTCCGCATTATGGCACTGACTACCTATTAGTATTTAACTGTACATCTCTCCTAACAGCTTGTGAGACCACTTATGAGCAAGTACGTATGTTATTAATCTTTGTTTTTAAAAATTTTTTATTATATTTTTTGCACTACCTTTTAGTCCTCTTATAACCCCATTCCCTCAATAATCACCACGCTATTGTCCATGTCCATGAATCCTTTATCCATTTTGCTCAATCCCTTCACTTCCTAACATTCCCCCTACTAGCTGTCATCCTGATCTCCATCTATGAGCCTGTCCCCATTTTTCTTGTTAGTTCCAGCTACTGTATTTGGAATGGAGTAGAGTCTTAATAAATATTAGTGGAATAAAAATAAGGATCACTGCCACTTACAGAGTGACTATTTTTTACCAGCAGCCATACAGTATATGAGATCTGTCTGGAAGGTATGCAGCCATGTAATGTGAAAAATAGAGACACTTATTGAAGCAGATGTAAGGTACAATGTACATAGGACAATGATGCCTCAGTCCCTTTCCAAATAAGCACCTTGGGATCTCACACAGGTCTCCCAGTTACCATCAGCCGCCCCGTCATATTTTTCTGAATCTCACTGATGGTGTGAAATCTCCTTTCAAAGGTGATTTTAGTTTTGGGAAAAGTCAGAAGTCACAGGGCACCAAATCTCGGCTATAGTGGGACTGAGTCACCTGGGTGATCTGATGTTTCACCAAAAAACTCTGCAGGAGACGTGATGCATGAGTGGCACATTGTCATGATGAAGCTGCCAATCACCAGTTGTCCATGCTGTGGCCTTCTGAATCATGAGAATAGTTTTCATGGAGGAATGTTAAAGCTTAACTTGAAATCTGATGCAGGTTTATTGTTCTACTCGCTCAGTCATTTTGGAGGCAATGGCTACAGAGTGAGTACACATGCTCATTCTATAGCGTCTACCAGCCCCACTGACTAGTACAGTGAAGTCATCATTGTTCAGGCACGCACATTCCAGTCCACTCTCCTTGGCTGCTGGTTACATCAATGTTGCACAAACTGTTCTTACATTAACAATGGCTGGACTTTTTCCAGACAGACCTCATAACTCAATTTTTATACTGACCTTGCAAGATAAGCATAAATACTCCAGTGCCATTAATTAAAAAAAAAAAAAAGGCTCAATGAGTTTAAATAACTCAAAACTAAATTAGGACAGAACTCAAGCTGACTGGGCTTCAAAGTCTGACAAGTTTTACTATATCTAGCTGCCTTCCTATATCCATTCATGTGGACAGATACATAATTAAATGTGTTGGGGGAAAAACATCTAAACATTTTGGATTTCAGTTATTTTGGGAAGTTTAACAGATAAACTCCTTTCTCCATGAGAAAAAGAAACAGCTCAGTATTTATTTCCCACAATTAAATAAAGGAACTTGTTTTTATACCTGAAACTATGTGTGTACAGACATAAGGAAGAGAAAAATTGAGGTAAAATTTGAAGAAATGAAACAGTTTTAATGGTCAGTGTGAAAATGGTTGCCTATTCCCATAATTTTCTGATCATTCTCCAGTAATACTTGGCATGGTATGTAACACTGATAATATTCATAACTAGTTCTGAATACATGGGAAGCCGAGTTTCAGCTTGACTTTTCCATATCTTGGTCTATTACCAGAGTCAGACAGTGTGTTACCTAAAGTAAGAGGTGTGTGTATTTATTGCTGGATTGCTGATGACAACATTTGCTTGTGTGTCTGTGTATTTCAATCTTTCATTTGCATGGAGAGACCACATATAGGGTTCTATGGCTCAGCTAAGATTCTCCTTTAGTTTTGACTATAGCAATGTATTCCTGGTACCTCATCTGAACATCGGAAGTAAAATAATGCCCGTATTTGTAAGGCTTATTTGCAGAATCCAACATCTTGTTCTTTGATTTCTGGTGAAAATGAACTAATAGAATGAAAATAATTTGGTAGGCATTATACAAAGAGTCGTTGTTGATTCTACTTGTGCTCCATTGGCACGTGCTTGCATGGTTTGGTATTGGTTGAATTATTTCAGCTGGATACTCCCAAGAGGATATCTTCTTCTTGCAGAGCCAGGAGCCATTTGAAGTTTCTGGAAATAAACAGTTTTCTTAAGATTGTTGCTGTTATGACTCTCCTTTTTTCCCCCAGGGAAAGGATGTTCTCCTGTTTTCTTCATATATGTGCTACGAGTTTTGCCATGATAAAGTAAAGCCTCTATTTTGTTAATTCAATACTATAATATAAAATTAAATGTATGCATTTCCCCAGGTGATTTATAGCAATAAATAAGTATGTCTATATTCTTAACACTGATGAAAGAGCACAAACAAGGTGATTTATTTGTGTTGCTGTTCAGTGGGTATAGAGTTCTAGCCACACAAAATAAAAAAATTCTAGAGACGTGCTATTCAAAACTGAGCATATAGTTAACAATTCTGTAATTGTGAACAAAACAAAACCCCCAAAGTTGGGGCCAGTAGACGTGGAAGAAATACAACCACATTTCTGGGGGAATGTGTACTGAAGAATTACTCATGCCCCTTTGATGCTGAGGAGGAGTTAGAGAAATAAAATGCTTCTCCTCTTAATAAAGCTTTAGCAAGTAATTTTCATTAGCAGTGATGATTGATGAGGGTTTTCTGTGATCTGTGGTCCCAGGAGCAGAAGTAACCATGTAAACAACTCTGTGCTAACAAAAGAGGATTGTTCACAGGGCTGGCCCTTGCACTTCACAAGGATATGAAGAAACAATGCGTGCTTTCCCTGATTTGGGGCCAAAATGTTCAAAGTGATTTTGACATTAACTATTGGATTTCATGAATTTTATTAAATAAACATAATATATTTTATTCATTAATTTATTCATTTTTCTCCATTAAAATTTTAAAAATGTGTCTGAAAGGCTAAAATGTTTTCACTGTATAAGTTGGCAACTTAAAGAATGTTAAGTGTTAATTGAATCACATTTAATTTATTCCAATGGCTTTGTTTCAAATACTATCTCTTATCCCAATCAACACATTTCTTTATAAGACATTCTCAAGAGTATAAGCATTTTTTTCCACCTGAGGACATTTTTTCATTGCTTTTAAGGAGAGAGGAAGTGGAGAGAGAGAGAGCGAGAGGGCAAGAGAGAGAGAAGCATGGATCTGTTGCCTCTTGTACATACCAGACCAGGGATCAAACCCACAACCTGTGTATATGATATGCTCTGACTGGGAACCAAACCCACACTTTTTCATTGTACAGGATATTATTCAGAGGATTTTAGTAAATTAACTCTGGAGGTACTGCTAATATATCATTCTCTCCAGTTGAAGTAGATTTACTAGAATTATATTGTTATAGTGAAACACAATAGCTTTGGTACAAAATTTGTCCTATTTTCAAGACACAAAGTAGACAAAACTTTAAAGAAGCATTAGTAAAATTAAATAGAGTTGAAATACTCTTTTTGTTTTACATATAAAATGTGTTACTATATAATTAATATAGACACATATAGATACACATATATCTGTATTTATTATGTATGTACACATATAGATCTGCACTAATATGTTTGGTCTTCTCCTAAACCTCATATTTGAACTTGCAATTGTAGGATTTTTTTCCAGATCATAGACTTATTTGTTATTTTTACTTAGGCTATTTCCATAATTAAAATTCCGTGTCTCCCCAGGTTTCCATGAATCAGCAGTGCCCCAGAAAGTCTTTCCCTTCTTGAAACTCCAGGGAAGTAGTGGAATGCAAAGAACTTGAAGAGGGAGCCTAGCCAAACATATTTTTGAACTTTGGTAAGCTTGCTGAAGCAGATTTTCAGCACAAACACGAATCAAAGTCTGAATGTTATTAAAAGAAGCATTTTCATGTAAGTCCAAAAAAGTACACTTTGGTTCTATTTGTTTTGGCTAGAGAAATGAAGCCCTGTTTTAACCACATGATCATTATATTGTAAAATGGCCATAACAAGTAATTCTATCTTTAATCTCACTAAAGAGTGACTTATTTGATGAACTTTTTCAGTGGAAAATTAACAACTAAATCTTTGTTAATGTTATTATTTTCTAGGTCTGAATCAAAAACTTTTCAGAAATTTTTGTAATACGATGGATTCCGATTATGTTACTCAAATTCGGTACTTTCTTCAAAAGAATGACTTTTGATTTTGTCAGTAATTTAATATATTTTTGTCTTCTTAAAAGAATAGAACTAAGAAATATCAAGATTTAAATCATAAATACTTTGGAACACTCCGAAGAGCAACATGGGAGAAACTGAAAAAATTGAAACCCATAGAATAAGATGTCTTTCCAAGTTTAAGGTATGGCATTTTTTTTGTGTGGATGTATGTATACATACTGTACCTTTTTAACTTAGACCTTATAAAGTTGTTCATATGTTCATGAAGTGATCTAATATTAACGTCCTACTACCTGATATGGTGATAATTTCTTGCTTTAATGAAGACTGTTTTGTGACTAAGAGTGTCTAAGTACGGTTATTGATTCAGGCGATTTAATTAGAGATGGTTTTGAGGGACTTAAATGGAAAATGAGATCCTTAAAATTTTCAGACACACATTATATTACAGGAGGACTTATTTTCCTGGACCAAAGACCAATTTAATGCCCATCCTTCAGGGGCTTCTGGTCCAGAGGAATGTGGGGCTCATTCTTGAAAAATGACTCCTTAGATAGAAATGCTTTGTTGATCTATATGCAATGACTACTCCACAACGATCCAGTAAAACAAATATTTACTTCAAGCTTTGGCAACATACCAAACATTCTCTAAAAGAAAAATGACCATTTCGCCAACTGTTTCTGATACCTTAATTATTTTGTTAGCTGTTTCTGACATCCGAACTATTTGAAGGCAAAAATGCAAAAAGAATTCAAACAAAATTTGAATTTATTTTAAACCAAGGGATCTGGATATTTATCTTGATTCTACAGCTAGTGCCTGCAAGTGGTTTCTAAACTAAGACACTGCGCCAATTTTCTATCAAAAGTTTATTTTCTCTTTATACCCGTGTAGGGAAAATCTACACATGTATATGAAAGTGGGGAATTATGATGCCGATCTAGAAAACTACTTTTGCCTGAAATGCCACTTTCATTATATTTTAAAAATTTCCCCTTAAATTATCCCTCAATTCTCATTCTTTCTCCTAAAATTCAGTGGTTCAAAAATAAGGATCAAGTGCCAGGCTCCCTGAGTTCATAACTGAGTTCAACTGCTCACTTGCCTCAACCTTAGACAAGGTGCTTAATCTCTTTGTGCTTCAGTTTTCTCATCTGAAAAGGGTAATAAAATACTCTTATCTCATAGGATTTTTCTTTTACATGCTTGAAATAATGACCATAATATTGTAAAAAATTCAATAAATATTAGCTATATATTATTAATAGCATATGTAGATTAAAGTCAAGTCATGTGCTATTGATAAACAGTTTGTCTTTAATTTTTAATTCCTTTGGAGTTTGGCAAGATTGGACATTGATCTGAATGTTATGGCAAAACATTGCAACAGCAGTTTATCATGTAAAATTGAGAGACAATTACTCAATAATCAGATTTGTGTGTGAGTGTGTGTGTAACAACACTGTAGTCTTCAAACAGTGTGAATAACAAATTACGGTCATTTAAAATGTGCTCTGCTTACACTGGCTTGATTATGTTAAACCTGAAGAAATTAGTATTGTAAATTTATTTATTTTATTTACACATACAAACATATTTGATATGTTTATCAAATTTATCAGAGTTACATTGGTTAATGAAATTACATAGGTTTCAAGTGTAAAATTTTTTAATACATCATTTCTATATTGTATTGTGTTTTTACATGTAAAGTCTAGCCTCCTTCCATCACCAATTATACCCCCTTATCCCTCTTCTACCTGCCCTAACTCCCCTTTCCCTCTGGTAACCTGCATATTGTTGTCTGTGTCTATGGATTTTTTTTTTTTGCTTAATCCCTTCACCTTTTCATTCAGCCCCCTAATCCCAATCCCCTCTGACAGCTGTCAGTCTGCTATCTGTATCTATGATTCTTTTTCTATTTTGTTTCTTTGTTTTGTTCCTTAGATTCTACATATAAATGAAATTATATGGTATTTGTCTTTCTCTGACTGGCTTTTTGTTGCTCTACCTTAGAAAATGTGCTCATTAAGCAACATTTTTTAGAAGGTTCCTTAACCTGAGTGTCTCATTTGGTTGATTATAGTCCAGCAGAGCAAAAAGTTGTTGGTTCCATTCCTGGGTTGCAGGGCATGTGCCTGGCTGGGGCGTAAACAAGAAGCAAATCATCAATGCTTCTCGCTTACATAAATGTTTCTATTCCTCTCTTTCTCCCTCCCTTCTCTTCTCTCTGAAAATAAATAAATAAAATCTTCAGAATTCTTTAGAAAACATCAAAAACTGTTTTTTTATGTTTGCTTCAAATTCTGGAGCATCATTGTTAAAAAACTAGTAGGACTAGCTTTAGAAATATAGAGGTTATTTTGTACTAGGCATGAGTCAGAATAGCCACCAGTTGCTTTCACTCTGCAAATAAAATCCAAAACTTTAGTCTTCTTATCTAAGTGTTTTTGGAAAAGAGCATTGGGAATATGATTCATTTAGTTTCCTTTCTTAAAACATTAAATAAATAAATTACCAACTATGATCTGTGCTTTATTTGGTAGACCTTGCTTTTAAACACAAAACATGGATTTATAAAACCATGTGAAAACTGTTTACTTTAAATAATGTGTGCCACAAAAATCTTTAGTGTAAAGAGAGATAGAGTTTCTACAAATGGTTTTACTACAAAAGGATAAATAACTAGAGATATAACCATACTATCTTGTTAGCAATATAACAGTTAGACTCATATAGAGCTTAAAATTTAAATTTCCCATGTATTTTTCACATAAAATTCTATTCACATTTCCCCAAACATATTGGTACAGCTAACTGTTGGCTTAGGTGTATTTAACACTATTCTATTTCATCTTACTTCAGTTTACTTTCCATTCTGACCAGTTCTTCAAGATGTTTTTGAATACATTATGCCATTAACTCATTATCTTTGACTCATTATTAACTCATTGGGTACCTACTATTCATCAGACACTTACTAGACACCAAAGATACAAAGGTAAATAGTAGATACAAAAGTACATTATATATGGTTTTTATCTTTGAACTGCTAACAATATAGTGAAAGAGGACATTATAAGCATCCAAACACATAAATGCACTGTGATAAGGGCTGTGATAGAAAAAGACACACAGTAACGTGGGAAGATGAGTGATCAAGGCTACCCAGGGAGCAGAGAGAGTAGGAAGGCTCCACAATACAAGTGATGATAGACTTAAATTTTAAAAATTGAGTATATGTTTATCAGGATCACAAGGAGAAGGAAAGCATTACAAGATGGAGTCTATCCTGTAAAAGGAACTAGGATGTAAAATGGCATGGTGAATTTCAGGAACCATAAGTAGAACCTGTCAATGGATAAGCAGCAGGATATGATACTGAGATACATAAGTCTGTCCAGAAGATATCCAGCCATGTAATATGAAATATAGAGACATTTATTGAAGAAGATACAAAATACAAAAAAAAATATTGTGCATAGGACAATGACACCTCAGTCCCCTTTGGAATAGGCGCCTTGGGACCTCACACAGTTCTCCCAATTGCCAACAGCTGCCCTGTCATATTTTCCTCAATCTCATTGATGGTCTGAAATCTCTCCCCTTACAAAGGTGATTCTAGTTTTGAGAAAAGCTAGAAGTCACAGGGCACCAAATTTCAGCTGTATGGGGGCTGAGTCACCTGGGTGATTTGATGTTTTGCCAAAAAACTCTGCATGAGACACAATGCATGAGCAGGCACGTTGTGGTGATCAAGCTGCCAATCACCAGTTGCCCATAGCTGTGGCCTCCCAAATCATCTGAATAGTTTCCATGGAGCAATGTTCAAGCTTAATGCAAAACATGATGCAGATTCATTGCACTACTCGCTCTTTCATTTGAATGTGGTGGCCATATAGTACACATGCTCACTCAACAGCAACTACTGCCCCCACTGACTAGTACAATGAAGTTGTCATTGTTTATGCATGGTCATTCCAGTCCCCTCTCCTTGATTGCCAGGTTACACCAATTTTGTGCAAACCATTCTCATTATATTAACAATCTCTGGACTTTCTCCAGACAGACCTTGTAGTTGAGGCATTGTTTGCCATCTAAAAAAGTAGGGTTTTTCTTTATGGAAAGTCACTAGACTGTTTTAAGAAATAAAACCACATTCTAGTAATGCATCTTATTAAATTATTTATCAGATATTTACTAAGCTCAAAATTATTCGTGGTGGCAGGTGCGATTAAGAGGTGGACAAGACTATTGGAGACTAAAATATGATTGCAATTGTCTCAGTTAAACTGTGCATGCATTTGAGAGATTTCAACATATGGGTGACAATAAAAGCCATGAGAATAAATGAGATTTCCTAGAGGATGATATATAGCAATAAAGAGTAGAGAGTGCAAAGACAAAAGCCTGAAAGGGTTAGCAACAAAAAAGTATGACTGGATAGAGTCTAGCAGGTAGGAGGAGATGTAGATGTGCATGGGGGGAGGAAATTTTAGAAAAAAAAGAGAGATTAATGTGGTCCAATGACTCAGATGTCAAGTAAACTGACAACTAATAAGAATTTGGAAATCAGGAAGTTGTTTATGACCTTTCATGGAGTAGCTTCAGGAGAAACCAGACTATAGGAGAATAAAGCATGAATAAAAGGTTAAAGAGTCTAAGCAATAAATCTAGACTATTTTTCCAAACATCTTGATGATAGCTGTAGTAGCTGCTATCAAAGGTGAGGGACTGTAAATATATATGCAGATATATCTTGAATATATTAATAAGCTAGTGGAGAGAAAGGCAGTAAATAGTGTAAGCCTGAAAATAGAGGAGGAAGGTAATAACTGATGAATTAGGATCTCACAAATGGGAAGAATGGATTTAAGAACATTGGTGGGGGGATTTTATTGTACACGGAGCAGCTCTTCTTCTAAGAAGGCAGGGAAGTTAGAAGGGCAAGGATAGAGGTAAATTTGAAGGTGAAGTTGCTCAGATTATTTCTTGGTCATAAAAAGAATGTGGATGGGTTGGAGACCAAGTAGCAGAAAAGACTGTGAATGATCTTGAATAGAATGCACAAGGTACAATATAAATTGTGGGGTTGGTTCAAGATTGGGAGTGTGGAAGATGGAGGGTTAAGATTTTAGGGATTGTGTGTGCTGGTATAGACTGAATAATCTCCCAGGATGGAAGTGTCACCAGGAAATATCTTTAAATAGCGCCAAGAAAAAAGCTCTGGCATAAGATTGGAGACCATCATTCATGTTGACCTAAATCTCTTTATCCCTAATGTGTTCATGTTGAAGCAGTAATTAATCCACATAATTATACTGTTGCCCAGTATGCAATGCTCTTTTTTTCAAATCTTTTACTGAGATCTAAATCTTTTTCTTTCCAATTTAATAAAACTATTAAAATTTTAACTTCTCATATTTTTAGTAAAACTGTACTAGCTCCTGGTGATCACAACAGTTCTATTTGTTAAGTTGTCCTTCATTTTTGTTACAGATTGTGTGAACTTGATTACTCTCTGGAACTATATCAATATAAGGAAATATGATTCAATATATGGAAATTTATTATATTCATATTTGTTTATCATAACAAGTAACTGTTCTTTTAGAAACATTTTTATAATAGTTTATAATTAAAATATTGCTTTAAATAAATTAACTAACAGTGAGCAATAATATAATGTATAATTTGGATGTTACTTTGAATAAGAAAGACCTTGAGCAAATTTGCAACAAAAATAATGTTTTTGTATATGTTATATTATTTTTTCTTTAACATATATGTATTCTTTTGTATTACAGATAGCATAGACATGCCGAAATTCTTTTTAAATCATTACGTATATCTTATTTAAAGTGACTAATTGTTTCTATGTATGTACAAGATGAGTCTATAAAATAATGAGGCTACAACTATATACAAAATTCAATATAATGAATCAGTTGCACTTTGAGTTTTCAAAGAGAGAACATGGTAGGAAAGATCAGGAGAGCAAACCACATTAAAAGTTTCTTGCAAATTCAAGGGTTACTTAAGTTGGAGACAATCGGTTTTGTGGTAGAAGATATTCTGTCAACAGGTGACAAACATTCAATTTAAAAATAAATTTTTCATGTTTTCTTATATTCTTTTCTCCCTAGGTATTTCTCCTGGCAATAACATGTGCATTTATATCCAAAACACTATCTGGATCTTATGTGAATTCCATACTCACACAAATAGAGAGACAATTCAACATACCAACATCACTAGTTGGATTTATTAATGGGAGCTTTGAGATTGGTAATGAATTATTCCTGTATTACTTCCTTTTATATTTTATCTATAGAGCTAGTCTGAATTTTATTCTCCTTATTTGTTGCTTTAGGTCATTTAATCTTACTGATTAGTATATTTTCTGAAACAGATTGAATATCCTAGCTATTTTGGAATATGCTTAGAAATAATTCATTTAAATATTATTTCTGAATAACACCTAAATATTGTCATATATGCCATCACCAGACATTTTGTTCTAATAGTTTTTAGTTATCTAGCATAAGTAGATTAGTATTTAGAGTATTTACATTTAATCTATCATTTGATAACTCTTAAAGGCTCTGTCTTCATACTTAGAAGATATAATCATAATGGAAAACAAAGGAATCTGTTTTCTAAAGAAAAAACCAAATATTTTCCTTCTCCTGTTGTTTCTGGGAGTTTGACAGTTCTTTCTAAGTGCAGGGAGGAAAAACAAGCTGCTTTAATATCTGTCTGGATTTGGGGGAGAATAAAGTCTATTCTTAGTCTCTGATTTTTGTGGATGACTGGAAAGATGTGAGGAGAGAGAGGAAGAATGAGGGAGTAGAGATACCTCCTGTGAACATGCTGCCTAGAAATATGAATAGCACTCCTTTATAGTTTGTTATGACTTCTACTTCCTTCCAGACAAAAGTTGCCTTTAATATATTTAATCAATATCTGAAAGAAAAATCAGGATTGAGGAAAGGCAGAACGGAAACAAGTGATACTTGATCCTGTCTCCTTAGTGTTCAGCTCCCTGCATGTCTGTATGCTAAATCCTGGTGATGGAGTTAGAAATAACTCTTTATGTAGCCTTGTGTAGGCTCAGCTCATAATGTAGTGGAGGACACAAATGCAAAAGAATAATTTTAATTGAATGCCATGAGTTTGGTGACATAAGCATATGCAAGGTCATATAGGAATACGGAGTGAGGATACAACGTCACTTAAGGAATATAGGCTCTTGAAGGACGGGCAATTGTTTTCAAGTGAAGAAACAGGGTTAGATAAGTGTGAATGGAATTCCAATAGAAGAAGCATTAGGGTGAGGCAGCGCAGTAGCTTGTTATGGGGAGCAATATTCAACCCAATATTACTGACTGACAAAGCTTAAGGTTGAAATTATTAAGATATAAGTTGGGAGAAACGGGCTATGGTTAGCCCGGTATGTTTTCTGCAGAGCTTACCTATCCTCTAGGTAATGTAGAGTCATGAAGAGATTGGCAGAGGTTATTAATATTTCTGTGTCAAGGGCTCTTTGGCAACCTGATGCTATATGGCCTCAGAATATTATTTTGAATAGTGTAAAATAAAAATTATGAGGGTAAAAGAAAACCAATTTATTGAAGTAAAATTATCAAACTATTAAAATAATTTGCCATATAGTAATATTTGTGCTTATCAACAGATTAAATACAACATCTACACTGATTTTGAAATACTGTTGTTATTATTTTGAGGTATCTGCAAGAAGTGTGATATCATAAGAAAATAACTATAACTTCTATTGGTGTCAATCTGTGACAAAATCATAGGTACCATTTATACCACTACAGTTCACCTACTTTCATTGTCAAAGGTGATGCTAATATTTAGTTAAAAGTTAGTGAAAATAAAGATGAATTTTTTTTCTCACTCAAGTTCACAGAACTCATTATTTCTATCCATGGAATCCTTAGGGGTTTATTGGCTCTAGGTTAAGATCCCCGCTTCAAGCAAACGTCACATTTGCTTTTCCTGCTTGCGGCTGTGTTGGAGATTTGAAGATGGCCAACCAGACTAGCACAGAGAGGGTCAGAGGAGGCCCACGCCAAATCCAAGGAAGAGCTATGTCAGCCTGAACCAGGATCATATTCATAGAAATGAAGAGGGTGACCACAGATATATTTAGAAGTTAAATTCCAGAGAACTTAGTGACAGATTGGATGTGGTGGTTGAGAAAAGAGGGCGTCCTTCAGTTTACAGCTTGGGCAGTGGAGTGGATAGCAGTGCTGAGACAGGGATGAGAAGAGGGGGAGGAGAACAAGATTATGATGATGGCTGTGGGGACATAGTGAGTTCTGTTTGTGGTAGTACCAGTGGGACCTTTGGGTAGCAATGTCCATATTGTAGTTAGATGAGTATGAAGCATTAAGAAACTATCTGGGCTAGAACTATTGAATAGTGAGTAAATAAGTGGTTGTTAAAACTAGAGAAGAGATGAGGCTATTCAAGGAGAGGATATAGGGTGATCAGTACAACAGATAAGGAATGGACCCCTGAGGTTCACCAATATTTGAGGAACAGGTAGAAGAAAGGAAACCATAAAAGTGTTAAGAAAAGGAATAGGCAATTAACAGGAGAAACAGAAAAGAATAGTATCATAGATGCCAAGGGAGTAGAAATCCCCTTCCCCCCCCGAAAAAAATGTCAACTGTATCAAAAACATTAGAAATATCCAGTTAGGTAAGGATAGAAAAAGCATCCCTTGGGGTTTATAGTAAGGGGATAATTGGCTATCTTTGCTAGGACACGTTCAGCTAAAGAGTGGATTTAAAAGCTAGAAAGGAGAGAGAGAGTAGTGACTTTAGGAGACAGTGGCAGGGGAAGAAATGGAATCTGTGAATAGAGATGAATATCACTGTGGAGAGAAACTAGGGGTATCTGTAACTACAGTGCAGTATAGAGAAAGAGGCTTACAATATATGAGAAAGGATTTTAATTATTGGAGCAAGTTTCTGGAGAGAATGGAAGTGCCCAGGTGGTTTGTTTGATCTTGGATATCCAGATAGACACCACAATCTCCAAAATGAAGGAACGTGGTAAGGATGTTAGGTGGGAAACTCAGACATCTTCATGTTGGATTGCCCTAGATTTCTTGACAAAGGAGAAAATATTAAGTATGGAAAGTGAGTGGTGGCTTGAAGAGGATGATGAAGATCTGAAATAGTTAAGATGGCATGGAGAGGTAATTTTCAGATGCCAATAAAAGTGTAACTTTGCTTCTCCTTATCAAAATAGATATGGATTTTAAACAGTAACCTTCTGTAGACAATACTTTCAACATAGATGGCTTTGATAATGGAGATATTTTTATTTACTCATCTGAAGTAAAATTGACATGCAATGTTATATTAGTTTCAGGTGTACAACAGTGATTTGACATTTGTATACGCTGAGAAATGATCATAATAAGTCTAGTTAACAGATGATGGGGATTTTAGAAACCTGGAGTAGTCAATTGTCACTGCTGTGGCTATAGAGATGGGTCACTCTCCATTAAAAATAATGTAGAGATTGACATCTCTTCTGCATACAAAGCAGATTAGAAAGAAACAGATAAACAGATATGGAAAGAAAAGTTTTCAAAATATACAACATCACTTAGAAAATTATTACCTCCTTTAGGAAGAGTTAAATTAAAAAAAAATAAATCTTAAGTTCATTGTAGAGACTTTCCTTATACATAATAGGATCAGGGTAAATACATATTGATTATTGAATTAAAAATGTGTGGTTTGAGAATGTACTTGTATGTTTGAATCTTTCAGCTCTTTACTCTATATTTATCAAGAGCTGGTCCACAATAATAGTGCCTCCCCCATTAGAATCTTTATTCTAAGATCTGGGAATAAATTTTTTACTGAATTATTTACTCCTTAAATCCAGACTTACTTCTAATACCAGCTAGAAAAGTAAGGAAGCCACTATTTTTTACTTCTAAGGAAGGAAGTAGAAATAAACATAGATCTTTGGCTTGGTTATACTGATCAATATAAAGTTATATTTGAAGCATAAGTTATGAAACATATATCTATCTGAATTTGACTTTTGCTTCTTTTTTTCTAGCATAGGAAAAATTACAATATTCTATGGAGCAGGCATGGAGGGAAAGGCCTGAAATTATGTATGGTCTGATACCTCTTTTGCATTCCATTTCTTAAGTCTAGATAGTCACAAATAGAGCCTTTAAAATTTCCCCAGAACTGTTCTTCAATCCCTTCCACTGGCTTCCTTTTTTCTGTCCCTTTTAATTGTTAGTGTTGCACAGAGTATCTGTTTATGTATATTTCAACATTTTGAAATAGCCTTCATTCAAAGCAGGGGTTGTATCTTATTCATTTGTTTCATGATTCCCTAGTACCAACCCCAGTAGATGAGATAGTGTTTATACAATAAATGTTGGATAGTAAATGATTGAATGAAGCTGTTCATTAAGCCATTTTACATACTTAATGGAATATTTATTTTTATTTCATTTTTTCCCTAGGAAATCTTTTTTTGATTATATTTGTGAGCTATTTTGGAACCAAATTGCATAGACCTATAATGATTGGCATCGGATGTACGGTTATGGGTCTAGGGTGTTTCTTACAGACTCTACCTCATTTCCTCATGGATCGGTAAGCATTCAGTCTCAGATAACATTTTGGGTTAAACTTTCAACTGCAGGAAATGAAACTTGAAATTTCTTTTCTAGGAACAATGCTTCACAAAAGCACAGAGCACCGTAATGGAAATCAAAAGACGCAGATTCTTTTCCACCTGTTTCATGCTCTTGGCTGCCTTGATTCCACCTACATAGTCACATGCATTTTGTTCACTTACGACAGAGAGATTTGGGACACCTCTTTGATGAAACTGAGTCTAATGTAAAGATTTTTAGGACCTTGAAAAATCTAAGATTACTACTTTCTTGGGTCTAGTTAGACACTTTTAATTACAACCAGGTTCTGTTTAATTGTAGGTCACCAAGAGACAGACGGGTCTGAAGTTTAATTTTTATTTTAATTTTTACTAAACTAATATGTGTACAAAATTATAAAAATAAAGTTACATTGAAAAAAGAGTTGTCCCTGCCCCTTTGACATTGCCCGTATTACTGCTTTCCAGAGGCGGCGAGTTGTAACACTTCGTTCCTTCTGCTGCTGTTCGCCTCCACTTTTCCAACTAAATGTTATCATTCTAATATTTGATAATTTAGTGCCATGTCATATATACTGACTTCCTGCTATGAAATCATATTCAATCTTTTCATATGTATGACTCTGTCAGTATTTTATCATTCATGTCATATGTCACTTTTTATTTTCCCTGGATGTAATAATTGTTTTATTTTTTATTTGATTCACTTTCTTTTTATCTCTCACCACTTTCTACTGGTGGGGCAACATCTCCTCAATATATTCATGCCCTATATCAGATGGTTTCATTTTTATCTTGGAGATATCCCTTTTGTTACCACCAACTCTCCATCTACAATCCAAGTGGAAATTATCTAGGCCTGCTACATGGCAGCTTCCTTAAAATTTTCCCTCACCATTAGCCTTGGGAATTTGCTTTGCCTCTTTTCTCTTATTCTGCTGCTTATTTCCTGGGCATCATATCTTCTGTTTCTTTCTTTCTTTCTTTTTTTTTTCTTTACTTTCACTTCTTTTTGTGGAAAATATTGTCTAATAGGTTTTTGAAAAAATGTTTAAAGGAAGTAAAAAGTTTAATACCTTGAATATCTGACAGTATTCTTATTCAGCTCTCACACTTGACTTATAGTTTGGCTGGTCTAAAATTCTAGGTTGGAAATATTTGTCCTATGAAGCGTGACGATATTGCTCCAATGTTTTTTTAGCTCCCAGTGTTACTATTGAGAATGCTGTGCTATTCTCACTCTTGTTATCAGTTCCCTTTTTCTGGGAGTTTTTGGGATTTTCTTTTAAGCTCTAAAGTCTAGATTCATGATAATTGTCTTGGTGCAAATCCTTTTCCTTCATTCTAGACATTTGAAAAGCTACTCCTGTTATTTCTTTGATAATATCCTCACTAGCCCTCTATTTTTTTCTTTCCAGAAAGTCTATGACTTGATTATTGTCTATCCTGGATTAAGTTTCTTTCTTTCTTTCTTTCTTTCTTTCTTTCTTTCTTTCTTTCTTTCTTTCTTTCTTTCTTTCTTTCTTTCTTTCTTTCTTTCTTTCTTTCTTTCTTTTTTTCTTTTACAAGTCTCTTTCTCCTTGATGTCTTTTTACTTTATGAGAGATTCTTTATCTCCTAAACCTTTGAGTGTATTTCTAGCTCTTGCCATCACATTTTTAATTTCCAAAGACTCTTAGTTTTTTTAATGAATTTTAACAAGAATGCCTTATTTGCTTTAAAAAATGCAGTGTCTTTTCCCATCTAAATTTCTTTCATCTGTCTTCATTGTATCTGTCTTCTGCTAGTGTAGAGGTTTTATTTGTTTTGTCTCTGTCTTTACTTACACAAGGTTTCGTTATATATCTGGTGGTTCTTGGTTATCTGTTCCTATTTCAGAGGTATAACAACAACAAGTTAACTGGAAGTTCTGTGTAAGTGGTTAATGGAGGACTTTATGTATGGTGATTGTACAGAGACTGGCTATTTTTTAGATGGCTCAGAAGAGCCATAACCTGCCAGTTATTGTAGGCAAGGATTCTCCAATCTATTTCCTAGGAAGTAGAGCTTGTTTACCAACCAGGTAGGAGTGGGAATCTTTTCAGTGTGTATATATTTTTAAAAACTAATAACCTTACTTTATAGTATGGCCTTCCTATCCTCAATGTGCCTATTCAGGCACTCTAGAATCAAAGTTGCAGACCAGGGCTGCAGACCAGGTCCCCAGTAGGGGGCGCACGAGAGGCAACCACACATTGATGTTTTTCTTCCTTTCTTTCTCCCTCCCTTTCTCTCTCTCTAAAAATAAATAAATAATTTAAAAAGAAAAGACATTTTGTCTTCTTAGGTATTTCTGAAGGGATCAAAAGTTTCCAGGCAAAAAACTACTACTGTCCTTTTATTTCTGGTTCTCACCAACAAAATGTAGAGTAATATTCAGCTTTTATTCAGAATTTTTCCCACCCTCTGCCAAATGTGTATTTTTTCTGAAGCTGGCATGTCTCATGGGAGCATGGGTATGGAGACAGAAGCCTTTGTACATGCAGCCAAACCCAAGGGCATGGCTAGGCAATTGTTCTAAGAGGAAGGTGTTTTAGGATTGTAACTCAGGTGGAACTCAAAGGGCAAGTTTTCTTTTGGCTTTCTCTTATCTAATACAAATATAGAAACTAATTCAACATGATTTCTAACAAAGAGACTTTGCTGGACATATTTTCCTCCATTGTTTCATAATTTAGGATAATTTACATTCTGAGAAAGAGTATGTGAATCTTCTGGTAATTTGCTTAAGGTGTATAGTCACAGTCTATTAATCCTTTTGTTCTTATGAGAAGACATAAAGTCACTACATTGTGCTACGACATTGTTTGAGCTTTTCCTAAGGTCTCTCATTATAATGGGCAAAGGTTTTATTTCTCTTAGAGATTAATTAAACACATGCAGAAATTATTGTTTAGATTTTCAGAAAGTGGGAGTATATTTTTCTTATGAGAAAATCTCAGAGAATCCAAAGTTGGAGATTGTTTTGCTGTGTTTTTTCCCCCTAAGGCTTTATCTTCTTAATTATACTTTGTCGAGTCTATTATTTTCCTTCCTTATCCTACAGTAATTATTTCCAGGAAATGATCATCTAAAACCCACAGAAACTTGTTAGATAATCTAAAATGTAGGTCATCCACATACAGAAACATCCTCCTGTAGACATCTTGACCAGGATGGAACCTGCAGCCTCGGTAGGTGCCCTGACTGGGAATCGAACCTGCAACTTTTGTTGCATGGAACAATACTCCAAGCAATTAGACACTTGGCCAGGGCACAGAAAGTCTTTTTTAATGATATTAATTTATGATGATTAGATGGCAAAAATGAAGAGAGTTCTTTACTGAATTTGGATGTTGTGTCTTAAGCAAGAATTAATCTGCACAATGTTCATATTGTCTTTGTTGGTTTCTTTTATTTATTTATTATTTATATAGAGGGAGTGAGAGTTAATCGTATATTTGAAATTTTATTTTTTCATTAAATTTATTGGAGTGACCTTGGTTAATAAGGTTACACAGGTTACAAGCGTACATCTCTCTGATACACGATCTGTACATTGCACTGCGCCCCCCACCCCAAGTCAAGCTCATCTTCCGTCACTAGGTATTTGGTCCCCTTCACCCTTTACTACCCCCCTGCACCTCTTTCTTCTGGTACCCACCATACTGTTGTCTGTGTCTATACATTTCAGTTTTATATGACACATACGAGTGAAATCGTACAGTTGTTAGCTTTTTCTGACTGACTTGATTTGTTTTGTATAATATGCTTAAGGGGCATCCATGTTGTCCCAAAGTGCAGTATTTCATCTTTTCTTATGGCTGAGTGGCATTGCATTTTATATATGTACCACATCTTTATCCAATCCTCTACCAAAAGACTCTGGTTGTTTCCATGTCTTGGCCACCATGACTAATGCTGCAATGAACATAGGGTGCATATATATTTGCCAATAAATATTTCCCAAATTTTCAGGTGGATTGCTGGGTCATATGGTAACTCTATTCTTAAGTTTTTGAGGAACCTGCATACTGCTTTCCATAGTGGTTGCGCTAGTTTACATTCCCACCAGCAGTGAAGGAGGGTTCCTTTTTCTTCATAACATTTGTAACACTTGTTATTGTCTTGTTGATAATCACCTCTCTAAGAGATGTGAGGTTTTCTTAACATAACCATGTTTTCCCTGTGTTCATACAGATATAAATATGAGTCTACGGTTTTAGGCAATTTGTCCTCAAACAGTTTCTTGTGTACTGAAAATGGAACCCAGGTTTTTAGACCAACTGAAGATCCATCAGGTTGTTGACTTCATTTTATTGTTTTCTGTTGACTGAATTTGTAACTAAACATGTGCTGCTGAGGGGTTTGAAAGAGTTACTGGGTTGGATTAGATGACTAAGATAAATGAACAAAAGATATTTTCTTCTTTCAGAGTTTTTTGGAGGGGATTGTGGAAGGGAATAAGAATGGCTATTAATAGAGAATGTCATTCCTATATATTTGAATATACTATTCTTTAAATTAGTTATTTAAAAATAAGTCAAACACATCCACCAAGGGCCACTGGTAAAAGGAAAACATCTTACAAGAATGAATTTGTATTGATAAGTTATTCTGTACAGTTATAGATAATACAGGTAGAAACGAAGTTCTAAAGATCTGTTTTATCACTGATCTTTTATAGCAGTTCAGCGAAAGCAGAGTATGTGTGATAGTTCTCATTTACTCTTTTCTTTCTACAGAACTAGGATTTTTTTCTTTGTTTCACCTTAGTTTATCAGACATACTGCTTTATAGTAGTGGTGCTTCGTCTAGCTTTCCATAACCCCAGGTGCAAACGTGCAGGTCTCTGGTCCTTCATGTGCAAAGGGACCTATATAATCTGGTAATACTTAGTCTGGAAGGGACTCTGTTAATTTACTTCAGAACAGAACTTCTCTTCCTGTGTTGGGGACATTTTTTTTTTCTGGATTCATATCAGTGGAAGTTACAGTGGTCCCCAAGGCTGGGAATTTCACTGCTGGCATGGAATCAGAGGGACCCAAAGTAGTTTCAAGGAGTATAACAAAGCTGTCTTAGAAACTCTACGCTGAAGGAACCCCTTGGAGAAACAAAGAAAAACAATGACATCAACAGTAGCCTGTGTTCTCTTCTTGAGCTGGCTTCTGCCAAAGGTCCTATTTCCTTTTTTTTTAATTAAAAAAAATAATCTGCATTGTACTAGCTAAGTCAAAAACTTCCCAGTCTGGTGAATCTTCGGGAAAGTGTTAATTCTTTGATCACCTGATATTTTTAATTTTGCTCTAGAGTAGGCTTAGAGTTTGCCTGTGATCGCTAGACAAAAATCACTACACCGACTACAGAAAAAGATATGAATATACAGAAATAGAGACTGTAGTTTTCTGGGGTGGAAATGACTGAGAGATAGAACTCACAAGAAATTTTCAGACCCAGCTGTGCTCAAGACCCTCAATCTGTGAGTAGCACCTGGCTAGTTTATAGGAGATGAGAATAAATTGTAATCCACTTTCCCAAAAATGTGACTCGACAGAGTATCTTCCTTGGCAGCTATTTTTGCTTAGAATAGAAATGGCTATGTTTTTGGAGATCTGCCTATCTTTCTCCCTTTTAGTTCTCTATGGCTTAGTCTTTGTTATTCTATTAAGTAGCTGCTGCTCCAATAATTTGGGTGAGTTTCTTTATCAAACCTTATTTGGTGGTTACGGTACAGAATAGACTGTTATAGAGAAAATGTGATTAATACCTAGTTAAGTATTTTTAGTGCCTATAAAGTAATCACAGCTGTAAAGAATTCAAACTTTAGTGAGACTCATTTAAATATTATAAATATAGTATCAACTCTAGGGAGGGATATTTGTGTTTTTCTCTCTCCTTACATTTAGTATAGCAATGGAGTAGCACACATAGCAGCTAACTAGGTCCTGAAGTTGTTGGCAAAATGGTTTTCTGTAGGGAAAAATAGCTCTGATTTTTGGTGTTTTCCAATTCCTCTAATGTAAATAATTCTATCAGACTACCAGCATATGGTCACTAAGCACAAGTATTTTGAGCAATAGTATACACATCTCTTCCAACAAAGTAGGAAATGGCTCCAGCATACTATTTACACTTCATCATACCTAAGTACTCTCAGAAAATGCAAGAGGGATGACCCAGGGAGTCACTGCTGACATAGTAATCATTTACAGGGTGAAATACTTACAAAAGCTTAGAGTTATAGCTATACTTATAAATTAATACTTTACTATCAAAATACTAATGTAATGTGTTTTTTTCCTTTCAATGCAGAGTGTGTGAAGGAAATGAAAACATTAATGTGGCTGTATGTGCTAATAGGAAATGTGATACGTGGAATTGGTGAAACTCCCATCATGCCTCTGGGTATTTCCTACATAGAAGATTTTGCCAAATTGGAAAACTCTCCTTTATATATTGGTGAGTTTGAAAATCTTGTTTTAACCTCTTTTCAGGACCGTCAAGTTCCTTGAGGATGGGTATTAGTTATTTATTTGGACTTTTACTGCTTTCCAGAATGACAAACAGAGTACTATGGCATAGTTGGTCATCAATAAAAGTTTGGTAAATGGAACAATTACATGCTAACTCCAAATAAGCCACTTTGCTAAATCTGCTTTTTGCTCTGGAAAATACCACTAATCTGGTGCCCCAGGAGTTCTCTTTGACTCCTCCATTTCCTTGGCACCACTCTATATCAATGTTTTCTTAAAAATGTCCCTTATATTCAAAACTTTTCTCATTATATTTATGATGTCTATTTTTTGTTCAGGCTTTCATTACTTCACCTGCATGTTATATAACTTCTTTATTGGCCATTTTATTTCTAGTATTTTCTTTTATTATTTTCTCATAAACATTCTTACAGTATAATTCTTCTGAAACATTTCTTTAATCATATTTCTCTTCCATGTTCATGAAACATACTGCCTCTTTTCTAAATCTGGTATCTTATTCATAGCTCTGTACTTAATTTATCTGTCAAATTTCCTATATGGTTTCATTTCATCACAACCTCTCTATATTGGTCAGGCTTTTTCATAAAATACTTGTCTTCATACTTTTAATTGTTTTCTTGAAATTTTATTTCCTAAAATCCATCAATGTCACCCCCAACAAAAGTCAAGTTAAAACCCACCATCTTGCATAGTCTTCTAATCTTCTAAATATGTTTAAATTATTATGTATAACTTGCATATATTCTTTAATTATTTCATCTGTTTATAAAATCATAACTTTGAGTACAGTGACATTTTGCTATTAATGTAGACAGACCTTTTAAAAACCAGAAAAGTCAAGGAGGGTAAAAGAAGATGAAATAGAATTATATTTAATCAAAAAAGATTAAAATATTTAAGAATCATTACCCCCAAAATTTGTGGCAGCTTTTGATAACTCCCTGCATTCACAATAATCTTTTTCAGTGTTTTTCTCTTTAATCCTTTCAGATCCCTTTGCATATCTTTTTGAAAGAACATAAATGCTCACCTGCAATAAGTTAACAAAAGCCTTATTATAATATGTATTTCTTTGTTCAACAAATACTGGTGTGTATAATATATAGAAACAATTGTAATAATCTCTATACATATTAAGATGAATAATGTTTGCTCTATATAAAGTTGAGTACATAAATAACTACATAGTTATAAATCAATGAAATTTGGTAAATATGTATAATTAAATTTAAAAAAATTAAATTTGACAAATGAAATAAAGATTTCTGTGCATATAATTAAATAACTATTTAATTATACTCAATTAGCTATACTTCAATTAGCTATACTTCAAGAAAACAGTTCATTTATGGTTCTATAGTTTTGGAGTGAACATAAAAGCTAGCAATAAAGTTTAAAAGTTATCTATGCAGAGACAATAAATGAAAATAAGAGTGGTTGCTATGGAAAGCTATATACAGCAAGAGGTCCTAAGATAAAATTTTAGGTAACACTTCTACTTAGTAGAGTGAGAGGGAAAAAAATCAAAGAAAGAGTAGTCACAGAGGAAAAAGTGAAACAGTGAATGTATAGTTTTGGTCCAGCCAAGATGGAGGCATAGGTAGATATGCTTCACTTTTTCACACAACCAAAAGAAGGATAACAACCAATGTAAAATCAAAAAGCAACCAGAACCGCCAGAAAATTGATCTATATGGAAGTCCAACAACCAAGGAGCTAAAGAGGAAACATTTATCCAGACCAGTAGGAGGGGTGGGGACAGGCTGCTGGGTCAGAGAGGACGTATGGCAAGGTGGCAGCGCGTGGATTGGGTGGTCCCACATTCGTGTGTGGATAAACTGGGAGGAACAACTGGCGAGTGAGACTGATGGCACAACCCAGGGTTCAAGTGCCAGGAAAAGAAAGTTTCAAAACCTCTGGATATAAAAACCTGTAGGGGTTGCAGCAGCAGGAGAAATGGCCAGTCTCATAGGAGAGTCCATTGGAGGGGCCCCCAGGCTCCTAGAACATACACAAGCCTACCCAGCTAGGAATCAGAACCAGGGCAGCACCTCAACGGGCTCAATTTGCTTGTGGGTAGTGGTGAAGTGACTTAAAGCAGGATGAGAGCTGAGCAAGCGGCATTGTTTCCTCTCTGACCCCTCCCCCGCAGCGCTACAATGCAGTGAAGTGGGTTGCCCTGCCCTGGCAAATACATAAGCCTCCACCCTTTACAATGTAACAGGTGCAACAAAACAAAGAAATATCAAATGAAAGAACAGACCAAAACTCCAGAAAAAGAGCTGAGCAATGAGGAGATAGCCAACCTATCTGATGCAGAGTCCAAAACACTGGTGATCAGTGGCTCACAGAAATGATTGAGTATGGCCACAGAATAAAGGAAGAAGTAAAGGCCATACAAAGTGAAATTAAGAAAAATACATGTGGAACCAACATGAAGGGAAGGAAATCAGGACTCAAACCAACAATTTGGAACAAAAGGAAGAAATAAACATTCAACTGGACTAGAAGAAAGAAATAATTCAAAAAAATGAGGAGAGACTTAGGAGCCCCTGGGACAACTTTCAATGTTCCAACATCTGAATCATAACGGTGCCAGAGGAGAAGAGGAAGAGCAAGAAATTGAAAGCTTATTTGAAAAAATAATGAAGGAGAACTTCCCCAATCGGGCCAAGGAAATAGATTTGCAAGTCTAGGCAGCTCAGAGAGTCCCAAAGACCCAAAAGACCCAAAGAGAAACACATCAAGACACATCATAATTAAATCACCCAAGATTATAGATAAGGAGAGAATCATAAAAGCAGCAAGAGAAAAGGAGAGTTACCTACAAAGGAGCTCCCATGAGACTATCAGCTGATTTCTCAAAAGAAAGCTTACAGGCAAGAAGGGGCTGGAAAGAAGTATTTAAAGTCATGAAAAACAAGGACCTACATCCAAGATTACTTTACCCAGCAAAACTGTCATTTAGAATGGAAGGGCAGATAAAGTGATTCCCAGGTAAGGTAAAGTTAGAAGAGTTCATCATCACCAAACCCTTATTATAGGAAACGTTAAAGGGACTTATCCAAGAAAAACAAGAAGATCAAAACTATAAACAGTAAAGTGATAACAAACTCACAACTGTAAACAACTGAACCTAAAAACAAAACAAAAACAAAACAAACTAAGCAAACAACTAGAACAGGAACAGAATCACAGAAATGGAGATTAGATGCAGGGTTATCAGCAGGAAGGGGGAGGGGGAGAATAGGGGAAAAGGTACAGGGAATAAGAAGCATATGGGTAGGTACAAAATAGACAGGGGGTGATTAAGAATAGTATAGGAAATGGAGAAGCCAGAGAAGTTATATGCATGACCCATGAACATGAAGTAAGGGAGGGGAGAATGTTGGAGCAAAGGAGGGTACAGCGTGGAGGGGGATAAAGGGGAGGAAAAAAAGTGGGACAACTGTAATAGCACAATCAATAAAATATACGTAAAATTATTTTGTTAATTTTAAGACAAAACAAACCTGTCTTTATAAAAAACAAAACAAAATTAAATTAAATGTATGGTTTTGAGTCTTTGAAGGAAAATGTCAAAGAGGAGTTGGCCAGCAATCTCAAATAACATGGAGAGTTAGGAGGATGAGGGCCAGAGAAGGACACTGGATAAATGGCAAAGAAATCATTGATGCTACCACCTGAGATTATTTGGAGTAGAATGTGGAAGGATTTGAGTAGAGTGAATGATTGGTGAGGAAGGAGAGGTTGAGTGTAGTGAAAGAGAAGAAAGCAGGGTGGATCTCTGGTAGGCATCAGTGGGTGGAGGAGATTGAACAAGCATAAGGGAAGTGTTTGGCTGAGCAAGACCTCAAGCAAGATAATAGAAGGAATTGATGTAAAGAGGTCAGTTGTACATAGGATTAGGAATCCTACAGAACTGCAGAGAAGGCAGACACACCGGACACACACATTTTGAAGTAAATTGAAAGATAGTAGAAGAAACTCATGTCTGGCTTTTCAGCAAGCAAATGGGGTGCAGCATAGATTCTGAATTGTGGACAAGTTATGAAATAATTAATGGCAAAATTCCAAATGAGTAAGAAGTTATGAGGAGAGAGGGGACTGATGGAAATAGAAGATAAGAATGTGAAGGATAAGAAAGGCGATTGTGATAAAAGTGAAGTATCAATTATAGAACAAAGCCAGAGGAAACTTCAAATTAGAGATCTGGGAGTAAAGCTTTTCTGAGGACCATGCCACAAGAAATTTATCATAACATGGTATTGTGTTAGAATTCCTCTAAAAATGTGGCTATGGAAAGCTTCAAAAGAATCTTACTCTATATTGTGGCTTCAGTAATTTATGATCCCAGACTACACTGCTCGAGCAAGTCTCTACCTGTGACCCAGCAAAAGAGTTTGGAGGCTTGAGAACGTGGCTTTAAATTAGGAGATTTTTTCCTTCAACATTTACAGAAACAAACTTGTTACTTTTAAGTATGCCAAGCTTGATTTTCTTACAAAATGAGTATCTAAGTGACACATATCTAAAGCAAAAACAATTCAGTTTTTAGATTCTTTGTGGAATTAAGACTCTTTATGTGGCTATATAACTATACTATAACTTCATATTTTCCTTTATTTTTAGGGTTTGTAGAAACTGGAACTATCTTTGGTCCTTTGTTTGGACTTTTGTTAGCATCATTCTGTACAAAAATATATGTTGACGTGGACTCTGTAATCACAGGTAATTCATTAAATCTAGTTATACAGTGTCTAGAATACACAAAGCAACCTTAGGTATGCTACCACAGTTCATCGTTTCTTTACTGGCCTTCAATTAGATAGGTTAACTGTGGTCTCCAGGAGTAAACGCTAAAGTGGAGGCATTTAAATAATTAAAAAGAAAATTCAAACCAGTGAGCAGAAGAGCTAGATAAAATGTTGATCTTCAGACTCAAAATTCAGTGCTCTTTCTACTGCATCATGACCGTGTTTCTTGTTTTCAAAAGATTTAAGCATATATAATTGAATTTCTTTTAATCAAGTAATCATTTCTGGATAATTAATAGGCCTCATAGTTATTTAATAAGTACCTATTTATAAATTCCTTACACAGTAGGACAGATCTTCAAACTAATTTATTGCTAGACAATATTGTAACACTATGCATTGTCAGACAACTTTTATAAATACCTAAATTGTATATAAACTCTATATTTGGATAGAACCTGAGAATAGTAATTAAAAATTTTTATTTCTGTAGTGCATACAGCAAATGATGACTAAAGCTAACAAAAATGTGTATTTTTTTTACAGATGATCTGACCATAACTCCAGCTGATACTCGTTGGGTTGGTGCATGGTGGCTTGGCCTTTTGATTTGCGCAGCAGTGAATGTGCTCACCGCCATTCCCTTTTTCTTTTTGCCCAAAACGCTTGCAAAGGAAGGAGCAAAGGATAATGCTGACATCATTAAAAATGACAAAGAAGAGAAACAGAAAGAAGAGGTCAAGAAGGAAAATGACAGGATCACTAAAGGCAAATATAAAAATTTTAAATAAGATATAGTGTACTTTTTATTTTATATAAATGTGTCTGTATTTTAGTCTAGCACTGTAACATGTTAGGTTGTACTAGGGTAATTTGTCATTAACAGTCAGCAATCAATAATGCCTAACTAGTCTAATTCATCCAGTGCTACTACTTGAAAATGCACAATATATTTGGAAGCTGAATGATCTCAGATTAGTATTTACATAAAATTTTATTACAATCTGGACACTCATGAAATTTCTTTATTTGCTTAGTCCCATTTACCTTAAAGTTCTAATTATTAAAAAAAGAAATTCAAACTAAGGACAAAAAGAGGAAAAAATACACTAATCCAAATAAGTGTTTAGTTCTGAAACCAAAAATGTTAGTTTAACTGCGAGATTCCTGGAAGTTAAGGCAAAAACAAACAAACAACAATAACAACAAAAATGATAGGTTATAGAATTCTCTGTATTTGATAGAAGGAAGAATAACTGTTCTTAAAGAGAAAATCTTCCCCAAGTAACAAACTATTAAAAAAAAAGTCATATGATGTATGATATAGGTTATATTGAACCACATTACTTTTTCCCAGCTAATACTGGGAAAATGAAGCATATTTCATTTAACAATACTTTTTTTTTTGTATAGATTGTCAATAAAAGCTCAAAGGATAATATTCAGAAGGCATTTCTATGGGGAACCAAGTTAAGAGAATTTAAGTATTTAGTATTCAAGAACAGTGATTTTAAAACCTGGCAATGTATTGTAATCACCTGAGAAATTTTTAAAATTACTGATGCCTGGAGCATCTGCACTATTCCCAAGAGGCCTGGTTTAATTATTATGAACATTTAATTAATATGGCCAGGGCCTTGGATTCTTAAAGAATGTTCATTTAGAAGGTAGGGAAGGCAAAGTTTCCTTACCTGTAAAATGTAGATAATAATAGTAGTTATTATTATAGAATTGTTGTGTGAGAGTAAGAAGTGTTCAGGCACACATTACTATTATTACTGTTGCTAGTGTTAGTATTACTATTGTTGATGCTGTTACGACTATATCACCCATAAATTATAATACCAATTTGCACAGAATTTTTATTAATAATAACAAATGCACTTAAACCACCATTGAACATAATTTAGTATTTCCTGGATCATTAAGAGCCACTTCAGGATCTTGCAAATTCTTAGTCATCGTGATTATATTACAACTCTTCTCAAAGGGATGATATGGACTGAGAGAGGATATTAATGTAGAATATTGTTTGTGGTCTGTAAGATCATTTTTCAAAACTAGGAAGGAGCTTAGCTTACTATGACATATATCAATAGAAAAGAATTTGAGCTACTGAATTTTTTCTGTGAGAGCAAGGATGTCAACAAAATGGGTGACTTAAAAAGCTTCAAAGAGCTCTGAACACAACCCTCATCCCTGCCATGTACTTTATTTATAAATATGAATTCTACCACCTGAATTCATTTCTTTTCACAAGTATTCTATGGGTACCTTTGTTTCAGAATGGGTTTTTGAGCAGTTTATTAAGCAAACCACGATAATACAGAATAAGCAAGGTAACTAAGACAGAAAACATGAAGACAGGTAAAGTAAAAAGAAACTATAAGTGATATTTGGACACCAAATGACAACAGTGAGGCCCAGAACACTTCCTAGAGATGGGCTACAAATTTGGCTCTGAGTTTTGTCAATGGACACAAACAGGGAAAAGTTTTGGTTAAATTATTTACATGGTCTTTAGTATATGCCTAATAAATCAGGATCTCAGCAAGGGGGACCTGGAAGTTGTTATCTTAAAAGATACCCAGGTGGTTTTAAGCACATTTTTCTGTGAACCATTGGCAGAACTACAAAAACCTGATGTTCTGAAAAAACAAAAAAATACCTGGTACTTGAAAAATTTATATCCCATGAATTCCAAAATATATATTTATCCATATTTTAAATATTCAGGAGTGATAATATCAATATTATTAGATGGTGAACTTCTTTATCAAATTTATTTTCCTTCAGACTTTGGAGATTAGGACAAACATCTTTCATAGTAGATGATCTCTAGGGAAGAGAGGATATTAATAGAAGGAGAAAGGGAAAGATAAAAAGAAATGGTATGAATACATATAATATTTTGGTCACATTATAGTTTTTCCTTAAGACATAATAGTTACATAATGAAAGCAAAACTATTGTGTTGTGATACCTACTTAGTCAACTCTGTCATTGACTTGCAGAAGCTGCCAAAAACAATGACATAACTTAAGCTTTTAAAGGGTAAAACAAATTAACAATATGTGTATTATAAAACAGGAAAACAATTTGAAGGAGAAGTTGATATTTCAGAAAAATTCAATCATAAAATGCAAAAGCAAATTAGTTTGACACTTTTGTTTTCTCTCATTTCAGATTTTTTACCATTCATGAAAAATCTTTTTTGCAACCCAATTTACATGCTTTTTATACTAGTAAGTGTGATACAGTTTAATGCATTTGTTAGTATGATGATCTTCATGCCTAAATATCTGGAACAGCAATATGGAAAATCAACTTCCGAAGCAGTCTTTCTAATTGGTATGTTTCTTTTTCTCTGCATTAGTAGCCCACTCTTCCCCCCACCCCCCCACCCCATAAAATGGTAAACAGAGTGATGATGATGGGTCTAGGAAACTCCTAAATTAAGATCATTTAGGATACTTCTGTCTTTGGTACATTTCTTCCTTCTGTTCTCCAATGAAATCAACAAAGGGTCGGTAGGAAGAGAAAGCCTGGCCTTCTTCCCTGTTCTGCTCTTTCTCCAGTCAGAACGCAAATTCAAAATATTTGTGGGAATCTTGAGGAATGCACAAATTAGATACAATTTTCAGATAGGGAATCCATTAATGAAAAAAAGGAAGACAGTTAATTTATTAGGAGTCAATGTTTTAGTATCAGATTTTACTCTTGGCTCCTAGTCATGAATTCTATGTTCCCCCTGCTCCCCCTGGTGGTTTGAGGTGTTTCTCCAGCCCACATGGTCCCGTCCCCACCCGCTGCCTCCCACACAAATCTTAGGTTTCTCTAGGGATCTTTGCAGTTTTGGAAGTGAATTTCCTAGATTATCTCCATCCACATCACCTACAGTATTTGTTAATAATTCAGATACCTGGTGCCCACCTTAGGCATACTAAATCGGAGTTTCCGATGTAGGACTCTAGAATCGATTTTTAACAAGTTCTCCCAAGGATATGATTCAGTCAGCAGAGCCAGGCAAGGAATAATGGAACCTAAGGCTGTATCTTCCTTTTTCTTCTTTTTTCCTTTTTGGAGGAAGGAGTTGGGTAGGAAGAGTACTGGTCAGTAGCAGCAGTAGCAGCAAGATGTGAAATGTAAATACACTTGACAATCACAGGCTCAAAATACCTTAAAGTGAGTCAAATTCTTAATAACCAAAGGGGGAATAAACAACAGAAAAATTATATGAATCATATATTAAATGAAATAAATTACTGGTGAACTTTGACTTGTCACTCCCACCTGAATTCTAAGAAACAATATATAGATCATGGTCTCTGCCTACAAGACATTTACAGCCTACTGCAATTAATTAAATGAATGATAATAACAGTCTTCAAAATGGCCTTTGACACTGGGGGACATTTAAAAATCTCTCTGTATATAATACGTAATTAAGTAGGGATAAAATTCAGTCAGCCATCTTTACTGTGAATTGGACCTAAACGGCTTCTTATGGAAGACATATTAATTAAAAGTAAAATCATATTTGTTCCTTTGCTAAATCACATTGTAAATAAGATTTTTCTTGCATTTATAGGTATTTATAACTTGCCTCCAATATGCTTTGGATATTTATTTGGTGGTTTAATTATGAAAAAGTTCAAGATTACTGTCAAACAAGCTGCCCACATAGCATTTTGGTTATCTTTTATTGATTATCTTCTCTACTTTTTGTGTTTTTTAATGATCTGTGATAATTCTTCAGTTGCTGGATTAACCGCCTCTTACAAAGGGTATGTTTTTTACTAAAGAATGTTATACATTTTGAGGAGTTAATAACATTTTCTACATTGGTTACCGATGACCAGATCATTTGTTAATTGGAGTTAATGGCAGTAATCCATTGTCTTTCATCTTTCCTTCATTCGTTAATTATACCTATGCATTCAGGCTCCAGGTTTATTAAAGAGGTTGGGAACATATCATAAGGTTGGCAAGTTTATGACTGTGTGTGTGTGTGTGTGTGTGTGTGTGTGTGTCTTTGTGGTATCCTAGTAGATATCAAAAAAAACTACCTATAGTTTTAGATTGCATTAGGGAATGTTATCCAAGTATTTTATACTCCCATAAATAGGTAAAATTAAGAGTTGACTATAGAGTCTCAGTGGCCTTTTACATGTTTCCACAATAAGCTTAAATTTAGCATAACTGAATCCTGATATAAGATGCATTAATGCACATGTAAATTCTTAGATTTTATTTGTATAGTTATATCTCACTATTGAATAGTTTTAAATATACGTATTTTGAGAGTTACCTGGGTCTAGAGGAAGGTTGGGTGTGCTAGAGGCTGTGCTCCCTGGTCGAGCAGGCTCGCTGTCCACATTGTCTCCTTGCATGAGGCTGTAGGACATGCTGTGTGGTTAGGTGGGGTCACTGGCTAGGTTTCCTGACTGAACAAGGCTGCAGATTGTGTTCAGCCATTGGGTGGGACTAAAGGCTGGGCTCTGCTACTGGACAGTGTTGCAAGCTTGGCTCCCCATTCCAGGAGTATTGAAGACTAGGCTCTGAGGCTGTGCTGGGTTATTTGGTTATGTGGAGCCAGAGGCCATATTTCATAGTAGAGCAGGGCTCCAAGCTTGGCTCCCTGCCTTAGTGAGGCTGTAGGATGGGCTTGATGGCTATCCAGGTTCCCTGGCCGGGCTTCCTGCATGGGTGGTTATCAAGATGGCAACATTGGTTGCTCCTGATTTCAGTTCCTGATACATTTTTATAACAGAAGAATATATCGGTTTACACATGTAGTTATGTGTCTGCAGCTAAATGCATTATCTATATAATACTTTGAACTTATAGATTTTGATCGTAAAATGAGCCCTTGAAATTGCTTTTATAAGATGTGATCTCTCTTGTTACTTTCCACCATATGCATCAACCACAGGGATTAGGTCAGTTTATTTCTGAACTCCAGCAACACCTGGAAAAATATCTTCCATATGGTAAGCATTCAATTAATATTTGTTGATTGGCTGTTTGTTTATCTGAACTAAAGCATCGAAAAAGTGGTCGAAGCCTGACTTTTATGCCAGATCTGTAGTCCCTGGGTTACACATCGATGATTGGAAGATATCTGTTTTCTATTTTGAGGAGGAGAGAAATTTAACTGTGGACTGAAATGGTGGGGGGAGGAAGAGAAGGTGCTCTGACAGTTTTTCAATATTCATGGCATTATTTTAAATCATTTCAGAGTGCAACAAGATTCACATGTTGGAAATGTCATCCTTGCTGACTGCAATATGGACTGTAACTGTCAAACTAATATATGGGACCCCGTGTGTGGAAGCAATGGGTTGTCATATATGTCAGCTTGTCTAGCTGGTTGTGAGACATTTGTTGGAACAGGACTAAAAATGGTAACACAACCTATTGGCTTTTTTTTTTATTTTTTAACAGAAATATTGTTTTATGAACTGCTTAGGCACTTTCCAACTTGAACTGGGCCCACATTTGATAAAAATACAACTAAAGTTTTTTTTAAAAGCCAAATTAATTTTTTGTGGGAAAAAACCTTATTTTTTATAGGCTCACTTGACTTACCTTTTATTTCCTAGATCTTATCTTAAACCTTTGTAGTGTCTGGGCACTGATATTTAATTTCAGAGCAGTTGACATTATTACTTAGATAATTTTTAAAAAAATAATCTGGACTGAAAAATGGTGATCAAAGTAAAGTATAGATTTTAATTCTCATTAAAGCCTGGAAACATATAAGAATTTAAAAAGGATTAATTTTAGTCTGGTTTTTTTTTTTTCAATAAACTGTACTATTTGAAGCAAAGCTTTATTTATCCTAAGTATCTAAATATTTCAAATGAACATTCTGGAAGAAATTTTGTCATACTTAGTATTGTAACAAAGCAGTTCACATTTTTAAAAAGGATGACTTCAGGACAGCTGCAGTATTGCAGATTTACTCCATAAACAGTGTTTGGCAGAAGTAACGCCTGCTTGAGGGTGGTTGGTAGAGTTAATAATATAGGTATAATAATTTATAGTTTTAATTTGAACATTTCACCTAAAATGTCATATGGTGTGCTTGAGTGTGATATTGTTATGTTAAGAATTATATGCTGATGATTTTGTAATAAAAGATTTTGTAATAAAAAAGGGATGTTATTTGTGCCTGATCCTGTAAAGACAAATACAGTTTTTCTGAGACCACCTTTCTATATTTTGTTTTTTGTTATGATCCTGAGAGATACCACAAAGGAGATGAGAAAAAAGGAAATAAATTGTCTCCATCTTGATCCAACTGGTGATGTAGAAAATATTTGAGATTTGTGTTTAAAATTTTCTTTCCTAAATAGGATAATATATTATTCTTTGTCAGGTGTTCCAAAACTGTAGCTGCATTCAGACCTTAGGAAATTCATCTGCAGTCCTTGGGCTGTGTGACAGAGGACATGACTGTTCCATGATGCTCCAGTACTTTTTAATCTTGTCATCGGTCAGCAGTTTCATTTATTCTTTATCTGCCATTCCTGGGTATATGGTTCTCCTGAGGTACACAAATTATTTTTTTATTTAGTTTCCTTTCTAGTCATTTGTTAAGGTAACTTGTTAAGGAAGCTAGTTGGAGACTATAGTATCTAAGAATTCAGTACTCTATCATTCATTAAGAGTTTGCATTTAGCATTATTGAGTTTCACGAAACTTTACAGGTAGCACTATAGTGTTCATCTGCTGGCTTTTCTCTTTGTTTCTTCCTGATTACTTAGAGTTGATTTAATGAGAGTCTCATTGTTTAACACAAAAAGACACATTTATATTTTAAGGGTAACCATACCAGATGGTCATTTTGGGAGGTGGAGGGTGGTTGCCAGCAATCATACCCTATGGTCCAACCTATAAAGACGCGAAGTAAAGCTGTTGGACTCCCCTGTTCCACCAGTTACTGTCTACAGGGCCTTAGGCAGGTCCCTGGACCTTTCTGAGGTACACCTTTTTTAAAAATAAGAAGTGGGCATAATAATAAATGCTCAACTCTTTTACTAGGCTATTGCAAGACACAAATGATGAAAGGCTAACTACAAATAAGAAATTACAGATGTAGGATTCGAACTTTGGGATATTGTCCCTGTGTGCTTTCAATTACAGTATTCTTCATGCCTAATAAACAATTCTAATCATGTTTAATAAACAAAGTTTGCATTTATTTCTCTTTATCTTTTATTGGAGCTCATAAGCATAATTAAATTAGTTATAACTCTCAGTTTCATAGTAAATTATTGGCATAAATTGGAGTAAGGTTTCTCTCTTGCTTTATTTTCCTTTATTTTTATCATTTTTATTTCATTCTCCACTTCCTCTAACCATAAGTACCCACAAACCAAAATTAATTTATTAGTTATTAGTGTGTTATATGACTTCCATCTATATGGAAACTTTTTTTTTTTTTAGATTTTACATAATTATTTTTAGAGAAAAGGAGGGAGAAAGAGAGTGAGAGAAACATCAATGTGTGGTTGCCTCTCATGTACTACCTACTGGGGGCCTGGCCTGCAACCCAGGCATGTGCCCTGACTGGGAATCAAACCAACTGACCCTTTGGTTCTCAGGCCAGTGCTCAATCCATTGAGCCACACCAGCCAGGGCATAAATATGGAAAATTTTTATAGGTTTCTTTTTATTATTGTTATTTCATTTTTATGTTAAGAGAACATAATCTGAAAGATGTGGAGTTTTGAGGAGGAATATTGAGATTTTCTTTGGTGCCCAACATATGGTTAATTTTTTAGTGTTTTATGTGTATCTTCTGCATTTTGGGTATAGAGTTTCCATATCTCTTGAAGTAAATATTTGTGTTATCTAAATTGTGTAAATTTATAATTGTTTTTTGTAAATCTAGAATTGTTTATTGTCTGCTTAACCCATCAGTATTTCAGAGATGTGTGTTAAAATCTCCAAAAAGTTTCTGATGTAATTCTCCTTATAATTGTCATTTTAAAATTCATATATTTAGAGGCTATATTGTAGGATGCAGATATGCCTGTGATCACTGTACTTCTGTTACTACCAGCACACAATTTTATCGTTTCATCATTTATTTTAAGGAATTTTATTGTTTCTTATTAAAATTGTAGTTCTAGGTTTTTTTTAACTTTCCTTTTATATAATTTTCCTTCCCTTTAATTTTAATCTTCAATTTATATTTTTACTTCATAAAACAGTTTGCTAGATTTGATTTTGTAGTCTGAGACTGGTGAGTTTAACCTACTTACATTTATTGTAATTATTGTGATAGGGCTCTTTTTTATCATTTTATTTCATATATTTTATTTATTTGACTTTTTCTTTGCTTCTTTTTTTATTGTTTTCCATTGTACATATTGGATTTTCTTCTTCTGTTTTGAAAGTTATAGCTTTCCAATGGTTAACCTGATTATTGAAATTCTTCACTGTTTCTTTTTCTCTCATCAGTTTCAAAACTTCTCAGTGTTAAGACAAGTACTTAATCATGCTCTCAGCTCTCTTTATGTCTCTATTCCTCAATCTCTTGCCAACATTATGATATAGAGTTTAATGCCTGGATTTTATTCATTAATTCATTTATTTTTTTTAGGTGTATCAAGCCTGAAGAGAAGAGTCTTGGTGTGGGAGTACATACATTTTCCACAAGAGCATTTGGTAAAAGTAGTTATTTTTTTCCCTAACATTGTATCAGACCATTATTAAATGCTAAGTAAATGCAATCACTCTCTCAGAATAACAGTCTAGCAAATATCCCTCCTTCTTTAAACAGCACTCTGTAATTAGTATGAGAATGGAGTACAAGAAATAGAGAACTTCCCTCTTTTACTTAAAAAAGTCCTATCTGACCTTAATTCTACTTTTCAACTATTGGGTTTGAAAATCAGAGTAACAGAAAATGCTGTGTTAAAATAAAATGTACACATGATTGGTCCAAAACATTAGAGAAAAAAATATAATAATTAATTCAAAGTTTTTCTTTTTCAATAGGTTTTATGCTGCATTTGTCCATAAAATTACTTATCCTTCACAATCTAGAAACTTTAAGAGTCAAAGTAATTTCTAATTTCTAAAAATAAAATTTAAAGTATTAAAGTTATGTTTTGTTAAACTTGTTGGTTTTACAAATAGAGGAAATTGAAACACTTCCAAACAAAACACTGTTTCTTAATTTTTACCTTGTTGACGGGTTTTTCTCTCTCCTTTTAATTGTAGCTGGAATCCCTGCCCCTATGTATTTTGGGGCTTTACTGGACTCCACATGTTTACACTGGCCAACTTTTAAATGTGGTGAGTCAGGGGCATGCAGGATATATGATTCTACCACCTTCAGGTAAAGATAATTTTTTTAGACTTGTTTTCTTAGCATAAACTGCATAAAATGGCACCATTCATGTCTAATATTTTCTTTGTCAAGTGACTAGTCAACTTTTTTGCTTTGTTTCCAGAATAGATATTGATACTGTATCTCCATTTTTATTTATATATAGAATTTTTATTTCCTCAGTATTTTCAAAGTACTTGGTAAATAAGGCATGGATGATTTCCTTAACCTAGCCTTTCAAAATGTTTGTTAAGTTGGTTGTAGTCAATACATGATTGAAGGTAATGGTTGTACATAAACCACCTATTTAAATTACATGATTCTCTAAAGCAACTCTTTTCACCTCATGGCACACATAAACTAATTACTAAAATTCTGCAACAAAAATATATAACAAAAACAGATATAATTTTTATTCATTCACACCAGACAGCTATTGTTGTGTAGCTGCTGTCATATTTTTATTTGACAATCTAAGGGAAAATCTAATTGTCTAAATAGTCAGGTATTGCATGTCTTAAAAACTCTTGTGGCACAGCAGCGTGCCTGCCATGGCACACTGGTGGAAAATCGCTACTCTCAAGTATCCTCATTTCATCCTCTGTCATTTTAGTATCTTACTAGCTTGAATCCTTACTTCCTTGCACCACCTACCTCTGATCTGCAAAATGACACTCGTCTCTCCTTAAATTTCACTGACACATTATTCTTCATGCCTCATAAAGGCTTATTTTTTTCTTAATATAGATATGATTTTGAACAAAACACATTATAATATAGACCTGTCTTTGAAAAAAATTCTTCCACTGTTAATCTTTCTACTTTGAGTTCTTCCTCAATGGGTAACTGAATGTGGTTTAATTTTGTATTGTTCCGAATGAGGCAGTAAGGAAAGCCATTTACTAAAAAACAGTTTAGTTTTGTTTAAAACATTCTAAGATCTTATCTTGATCAGAAAAAGGACCATCAAGGAGTTTACTGTCAAGAACTATGCAGAGAACAGACAGCCTGAGATTCCTGTTTTCTTCAGTTCCCCGTTGTCCTGCGGTGCCCAAGGGTTAAGTGAAGGCAGGTCCAGCCACATGCTGTGCAGGCAATGGATTTGCATCGCAGTTGAACGACACCGAGGATTACTAGTACGGGTTGTCTTCATCCTGCTACTTGGAATCCTGGAGATAGTAGCCCTTAATTAAGTACTATTTCAGAAAAAATAATTGTATAATTGGTACCATCCTCTGTCAGTCGAATTAATTAGGATGGCCGATAAAGTATACTCATGAGAAAATTCACTGTAAACTAATATAGCATAGAAACAAGAGGTAGATATTGTTGGTAGGGAATTCTCCATGGTTCCCTTGCATTTCTGTGTAGCTTGTTAGCACAGGCTTTTGTTCTGGACTACATTTTCAAGGATGTTTGAACAGTACCTGACCTTGGAAGATGAATAGATAGTGTTTCCTGATGCAGCAGAGTGTCCGGGATGATAAAGATAAAAATTTCCTCCGGGGGCTAACATTGGCAGATTTGCTTACAACCCATTTAAAAGTTTGGGATTTCCTAAACTCGAGATTCCTTAGCTCTGACCTAAATCCACTGTGTGTACAACATTCACCTGGGTCTCCTTCTGTGTCACCCCTTTGGGACTTGGGGATTAAGGATAACCAAACTGGACATTAAGTTTGTCAGTAAAAAAGTCCTTTGTCTCTGACCATGAAGTCTTGTATCTTCTGCCAACATCTGTGCAACTGTGGCAAACTTGTCATTTAGCTTGAAATCCAGGTAAAATCTAAAATTCTTTTATAGTTTTTAAGAACAGCAATGCTGATTAATTTAAAATTTTGCCAAAATTAAAATGACCACTTACACTTATTCCCATTAATAGAAAGAGAAAACATTAAGAAAAATTCAATGTAGTGAGAAATAGGAAAATAAAAACACAGAAAATGAATTAAAAAATAAGCTTAAATATACCAGGTTTCACAATAAATGTATCCAAACTTGCTTTTAAAATGATAATGACTTTCATATTAGAGTCTACAAAATTCTAGCTGTATGTCTAGTTGTAAGAGACAGACTAAATACTATAATGCAAAGAAAGGTTGAAAACAAAGGTCTGAGAAGACATTCCAGGCAAATATTGAATCAAGCTTCTATAGTTATATTAATGACTATGAAACAAAATAGAATTTAAAGTAAAAAGGATTAATAAAGAAGATACTAGTTTATAATAAAATAAACACTTTACCAAGAATATGTAATAGTTATGAGCCCATATAAATCTATATCAACAAAGCCTCAAATATATAAAACAAAAATTTAAAAATTACAATAAAAAATCAACAGAGTGGAAAATTTCAACACACTTGTCCAACAAGTGAATGTAACGTATAGACAAGAAATTAGTGGGGATACAGAGTATTTGGACCACCAAATAACCTAACAGTTATCTTATAGACATATAGCAATTTTTAACCCAATGATCAGAATATATATTTCTTTTTAAATCTATAATAAACATAATTGATTAGGTACTATGCCACAAAGAAATTTTTTAAAAAAATTCCAAGTATTGACACCTTATAGCCTCTGTTTTCTGTGCCCTGTGCAATGGAAGGAGAAATCTATGATAAAAAAAATTGCCAAACACCACATGTTTGGAATTACTCATGGATGAAAAAATAAATTACGATAAAATAATTTTTTTTTGGAGCTCTATGTCAATGAAAACCCTGAATAAGAAAACTTATGGAATGAAAACTAAATCAGTACTCAAAAGTGTATTTAGAACTTTAAATATATATATTTAAAAGATTGAATGTCAATGAACTCAAAATTAAAAAAAGAAAAAAACAAAGTAAGAACAACCTGATAGGTGACTGAATAAGTTACATATTGATGTAATTCTTATCTCAGATAGGAACGATAGATACAATACATTTTTACAATTCCAACAGGACATATCTAGATTCAAAGACAAAATAAATATCATCCTAGACATCCTGTTTTGCTGAATGAGAACTTGAACAGAAACATAAATGGAGTAAACACAGCTGAGTTCAAAGGCTGAGTGTGAAGGCCCTAAGCCTAGAAACAAGCAATGGTTTCTGGGAGATCAACTTCTGAAGGAAAAATAAAATACTTCTTAAGAGTTAGGAGACTAGATCCAGAGTCAATGCTTTAATCCAAGTAGTGAGGTAAACCTACCACTGGGGATTGGACTTGAACTAGGTTGAATAGTGTTCCTCAAAATTTCGTGTCCACCTATAAACTCAGAATATTTTATTTGGATATAGGGTCTTTGCAAATGGAATTAGCTAAATTAAGACGAGGTCATAGTGGATTAGAATGGTCCTAAATCCAATCACTGGTGTCCTTTTAAGAAGAGAAAAGGAGACAGTGACACAGACACATAGGGAGAATGTCATGTGACGACAGAGGAAGCGATTGTGATGATGCATCTACAAACCAAAGAATGCTAAGCGTTTCTGGCAGCTAGTCTCAGCCAGAAAGAGTGGAGGAAGGATTCTCTCCCAGAACCTTCCAAGGAAGCACGACACTGCCAACACCTTGATTTCAGACTTCTAGCCTCCAGAATTGTGAGAGGATAAATTTTTTTGTTTGTTTTGCTATAAGCCATCAAGTTTGTGATGTTTTGTTACAGCAGCCCAAGGAAACTAATGTAAACCTCAGTATAAAAGAGTTAAAAAACAAACAAACAACCTTTTGCAGGTCATTGCTGTGTTATTAAGGAGGGCATAATACATAGATACACCCAAGAACTAAAGCAAGGTATGTGCTCCCTCTGTGAGTATTCCCAGTATCACTATGAAAAATCACCCTTATAAGAACTAGGTTGGCCTAAAAATTTGGGAACTGGAAAAAACAAAGACAAATTTATTAGATTTGTTTCAAAGAAACAGAGCAAGAAAACCAAAACAAACAACCACCACCAACAAAATATTCCAAAGGAGCTTGTAAACTAAAAATTTAAAACACTTGAATAAATCCAATATTAAAAAAATAAGCATGTAAATTACCAATTGAAATATGACCTCATTCCAGATTAAACTTAAGAGTATGACAAAAGTTTTAAAATAAGTATGTTTGACCAGCTCAATAAGTTTAAAAATAGGATGGCATTTACTATCCATTAAAAGTGAATAAGAAATGATGAAAAAACTAGAAAAATGAGAATATCAAAAAGACTTAGAAATATTAGAGATTAAATGTATAGCATCGAGATAATAAAGAGAATCCTAAATATGTAATACATTTAAAATGAGAGTTGATGAATTGGAAGAGAGTACAGAAGAATTTATCTAAGATGTGAGTTAATGATTGGAACCGATTAAACGAAAGTTAACTACAACTAAGTAATGTTAAAGATCAATGAACAAAGTATATATTTCAGGAAATTTCTAAAAAAGAGATTGAAGGAAATAGCAGCAGTAAATCAAAGAATTAATGACTTAAAATTTCCTAGATTTTAAAAAAGACATAAAATTTCAGATCAAAAGTGCATTTCAAATGCCTAGTAGAATAAATGTAAATAGATCTATCAGAGTAAAATTACAAACCATCAAGGTAAAAAAGAAAAGAACAACATAAAAGTTACCCATGCAAATAAACATGCAATTTATAAGAAATAAAAATTGGACCATAGCTAATAGATTATCAGCAACAATTGTTCCTAATATCTTTATGATCTTTCTTGCTTTTGGTTGGGGTCGACATTAAATACCAGAGAGCAAGAAATGGGAGAATGTGGCTGTATATATAATTCAAAATTTTACTTACAATAGAAGATATATGGACAATGAAAAGAATGATGGAACTTAACTTGGGAGTATAGGAACTTTCATGCACTACTGATAGTAAATAAAAACCATGAAGAGAACTATTAGGCAATATTTATAAATTTGCATACTCCATATTCTAATTCTTTTTAGAGAAACTCTTGCTCACATGCACAAGGAAACATGTAAAAGGAAGTTTATTGCAGTAATGTA